ATGTCTTCAAACATAGTTCTATATCCATATAAATGGTTGTTTCAAGTGCAGAATACTGCATCAAGATATGTCTTCAAATGCAGAATTCTATGTTTATATACATGCATGTTTCAAATGCACAGGTTTGTATCCAGATATAGAACGATTGGTAATACATATAAACAAGTTTTTCTTCATGTTTTTCAGCTATTTTCTTATGGTGGTTAATGACTCCAGCTTATTTGATTCTTAAGATTATAACTCAGAACAAACAGATTTGCAGGCCAAATATTTAAAACTTGTACTTTTAGCTATTTTAGCCATTCTGACTCAATAACATTATATAGGTCTGTTTCACTCACTCAGTAACATTATCTAGGCCTATTTTACTCACTCAGTAACATTATATAGGCCTGTTTCACTCACTCAATAACATTATCTAGGCCTGTTTCACTCACTCAATAACATTATGTAGGCCCGTTTCATTCACTCAATAACATTATCTAGGCCTATTTCTTTAATTGACTTCATTCCTACAAAAGAAATGCTTTATCGTATTAATAATATTTATCAGTAAATCATTCCACCTTTTTTTAAATAGGTGTCATCAAGACTGGAAATGCGCTTCACTTAAGGATCGTAGGTGATTGTTTGTTTATTTTGGAACAACTCCACAATCGACTATCCGCTGTGTCAATCTCGTGGGATCAAACCCCGTATTTTGGCGTTGTAAGCGCGTAACATTACCGCTGTCCCACCGGGTTAATTTATACACGTGACGTCAAATAGCATTATCCATATACAACGTTTCTGACTTTAGAGATAAGTGACAGCAGAGGAAAACTCACTAAAGAATTTAAATTACTAATCTTAAACATTTATATTTCATTAGGTAAAATCTATAAAATAAAATAAAATGACTCACAGGTGGCTGCAGATTCCAGCTTAATGTTTAGTTTAGGAATTACTAAGTGGTAGTCATTATAGGTGTCAGCTGTTGATTTTAACCGGGATGCCAACACAATGGCTGGCTGTCTCAACAAACTTTGTTGACTTGAGCTTGAGGTTGCTGGTGATAAAGTAGCCGTGGTTAGCAAGTCAGTGACCGAGGTCATGAGGGTAGGCAGTGGACTGGGAGTCCTCGGTGGTGGAGAGGAAGGTTCTTGTTTGATTGTGATGACACTGGAAAATTCTGTTTGTCCAGTTGCCGTGGACATCGGGATTGCCGGGAAACACTCTGATTCCAGATCTGAGAGGGAACATAATTGGACCATTTTGTTTTATTTCATCTCTTTATTCTAGTTGTTAAGAATATTAATAGCTTTATTGCAGTCATGATTTCAATTTTACAGTTACTATTAATATTATAGAAATTCATTATGTCATGAAATGTGTACGAATAATTTCAAGATAACTTTGAAATCTTTTATAAAGTATATTAATATTTGAGCTGTTTTCAGCCACGGGGAGGGGGGGGGATAACTATAGACTGATAGAACATGTTCACGTAAAATATGGAGGTAGTTAAATTCAATTACATATAAAAAAAAAGAAGTTTGCAATATAAACAAATCAACATTGAATCAGAGTTACTGAAATTTAAAGTTTGGACTTTAGGCTTAACAAAAGAGTGAAGCAAAATAATTTAATAACTTGCAGAGCAGCAACAGACTTAGATAACATAATAATCATTTTAAGGTTCTTAGCTTGAACTTAACATTACCTGGCAGTCAGTTGTAATTGTGTTTGTTTGTTTCCTGTTACAGTGATATTTATTATTTCCTGAGTTTCGTGTTTGGTACAGAAGATGACACATAAATTTAATATAAAACATTTAGCAAAGAAAGTGAAACGTGAGTGTAATACTGAACGTTTATCAGAAAAGGTGATACATGAGTGTAACTCAAACTTTTGGCACAGAAAGTGACACATAATTGTAATATTGAACATTTAGCACAGAAAGTGACATATGGGTGTATTATTAAACATTTAGCACAGAAAGTGACACATGAGTATTATATTAGACATTTAGCACAGAAAGTGACACATAAGTGTAATATTAAACATTGAGCACAGAAAGTGATACATGAGCATTATATTAGACATTTAGCACAGAAAGTGACACATAAGTGTAATATTAAACATTGAGCACAGAAAGTGATACATGAGCATTATGTTAGACATTTAGCACAGAAAGTGACACATGAGCATTATGTTAGACATTTAGCACAGAAAGTGACACATTAGGGTAATATTAAACATTTAGTACAGAAAGTGACACATGAGTATTAGATTAAACGTACGTTATCTGATATACAAACTTTTAATCGTTTCAGTGTGTTAAAGGAACCTCGTGGGCACAGTTATAACGATGATAAAGAATGTCATCATATGTAAATTTAGTTTTCTTACGGTACGGAACAGCTGGTTTGTCATCATTTTGATGAACATACCTTTTTCACTGCTTCATAGTATGAAGCTATTTACTTAACATTAAATATAACGCTAGGAGATTTTTTCACGTAAATACTAATTGTATTATTATTTTCCAGACATTTTAGTCTGTCATCGTGTGGGTTGTGTTGTCCTGTCTCTAAACTGTAGACTTTAGTTGGTCGTGACGTGTGTGTTTTGTTGCCCTGTTTCTAAACTGTAAACTTTAATTGGTCGTGATGTGTGTTCTTTAATTGGTCGTGGTGCGTGTTTTGTTGTCCTATTTCTAAGCTATCGATTGTAATTGGTTATCGTGTGGGTTTCTTTGTTCTATCTCTAGCTTCGTGATTTTTTTTTTTCTTGGACCAAAGTCTTTTTTTTTTTCAAAGTCTTTATTTTAAATTACACCAGCAGGGCTTTTCCTGCGTGTCATATGTTAAAATATCTGATTAAGTACACAAGTATGTTTACTGGGCTCGTTTTTACGTTGGTTAACAGTGGCTCCTTTGTTAAAACAGTATAACTGCTAGTTAAGCCTACATGCTAATAAGATTATGAAGAACAATTTCTTTTAGATGTTTTCCAAAATTCTAGTAATCCGACTATTTTAACTGATTATTTAAATGAACGAAGAAATCAATATTATCACGATATATATACATATAAAACTGGAACTTGTATATAAATCAGAAACGTTTAATATTTATTGATGAATTTTGTTTTCTGCCTTTTATCTATTTATTCTCCTCTCGCCCAAAAGTTTGCTACCCGTTAAGCGACATAAACTCAGTGTTTGCATAATTATTGACATTGTAGTCTGTTGAGTGGGATAAGCTCTCTTCTCAGTATTTTTAGGATGATAGTATGTAAATAAAAACTAAAAAAAAATATATATACATTTGTTATGTAAATGCGTACCTTATAGACCAAAAAAATTTATTTTTTTGCTAAAATTATAATAAATAATTAATTCAAAAAACGTTTTATATTTACACAATAAAAACTTTTACTGAAGCCGTACGGCTTCCACTTTAAAATCTCTACAAGTACATGTTTCGACGTGATCTACGTCATCTTCAGGAGTAACTTACAAGACTATTTTATACTTCCTCCCTTGTCGCATTACTTCATTGTTATTTACATATTTCCGTTAATAATAATAATAATAATTATAATATATCTCGCCATATATCAACATACTGAATTGCTGGTCCTTCTTCTCTATTTAATACTTGGTTTTGTTTTTTATATTTCTTTATTTCTAATGTTTCTCTAATATTTAATTATTTAAATCTTTCTGTCTTGAACATATTTTTAAAGCTCTATAAACATATGTATAAAATGCTGATATTTTTGG